ATTAAAATAAATTTTACAAGGAGTTGCAACCAGTTGCAACCCAAGTTGCAACTTACCGAGTTGCAACTTCTTAATTATAGTACCATCTTTAGTAAATAAACATATTCTTAATAGGTGATACTTAGGGTAGTCTTCTGCATAATCTATTATATAAATATTGGCAGAAGACTACCTTATCACTAATATGTACTCAGATGTGATATAAAGACTTTTGCAGAATTATATTATATAAAAATGGCAGAAGCCTTCATCTCAACTTAATAAGTAAATCGTAGAAGAAAGGCATTCAATTGTATCTGAAAAATAAAGTATCCTCCATAATTATATTATATAAAAATAGGAAAAGATTTTACTTTTCTAGATATACAGTCCTCGGTAAAAAGAATGGTAAACCGAACTTTAAACGGCAAGTAAATTTTTACATATTAAATAAAAAAATTTTTTTTTATTTAAAATAATAATACTAACTATACATTTTTCATTATTTAACTAATACTTTGTATGACCTCCTTTAGCATTGATATATGCTTGAACCCGTTTTGACATGCTATTAATACATCTAAGTAACATATCGTCATCGAGATCTTCCCATTCCTGCTGGATTAAATCAAAAAAAAATGTTACAGGTAATATTTTTTTTTTGCTACAAATTCTTGATATTTTTCTCCACTTTTCCCTTTAATACTGATTACACATTTTCGATAGGGTTCAAATCTAGGCTGTAAGAAGGCTAAGGAAGAACTCGTTTTGAAAGATGCTTATCCAAGTCACCTAGACATCTAGTGAGGTGTGTTTTGGGTCGTTATCTTGCTGAAAGACCCAAGAATGACCGTGTAATGAATTGGTATTGTTATATAAATGATTGTCTAATATTTTTTGGTATAAATGACAATCTAAATTCTCAGTAAACAGATGAATACTGATCTTTCCTTTAACGCTAATCACACTTTAAATGGATGTTTTACCATGGAAGCAACTGGTTATAGGGTTGGAAAAGTCCATCCTAGTCTGGTCTTAGTCCTAAGACTTGCAGGTTCTATTATTAAGACTCATGACCTGATCCTTAATAACTGGTATTGTGACCGGTTTAAGACCAGGTCTAAGACCTATCCTTTTATATAAACATTTAAAAATCAATTGCAAGAAAAATAAATAAAAATTCAAATTTATAAAGCAAGTAATAGATGTTTATTCAATAAATTTTTATACTGTAAAGTTGAAAATTTTTATGCAAAATTTGAAATTTATTATAATTTCATTACAATTCATTAAATTCGTTTCTATATTTCTATTTATGTTAACTTTTCTCCAATATTATTAGCAATCCAACTCTTTACACATAAAGATGTTCTGGCTGTTGTAGGATGTAATCTGTTACGTGTTTTAGTAATAGTATTTGTTGCAATAGAAAATGTCTATTCACAAGCTACACTTGTAGCTTGAATTGACAAATAATCTCGTGCAATATGAGATAAAACAGGAAATTCCCTCTGATTACCTTGCCATCATATTAATGGTACTACATTCTCATCACATGGTAAAGCAATATAACAATCTAATTCAGAAGCAATTAAAGAATTTGTTTCATTATTACTTGATGATAATGAAAAGGTAGCATCAATATGACAACGTTTTGCATTATTAAACCAATTCTGTGTAGATTTAGTATTCTCAATATTAGTATATGAAGGTGGAGTTGGTAAAGGTAAATAATATCTATCTATAACCATTCAAAGATCATTTAATGTATCAGTTGTTGGTTGCCCACTTTTAAAAAGTGCAAGTTTTATACACGGATCTAAGATTGCTGAAATACGAGTTGCTGAATCAACAATATTCCAATATTCACCAATTTTTTGATTAATTGAAGAAGCCATCATTGATTGACTAAAATCATCCTTATTAATATAGAATTGAAGATACTCTTGTATTTCTATTATTAAAAAATGAACATCAGCAATTATTAGATATGATGCCGCAAAAAGTACATCAGTAGCTTTTTCTAATGGTTCTAATAAGATAATTGTATCCTTTATTTTATAAAATTAAGTTAATTTTTATATTTTATTAATAAAATAAATAACTAATAATTATTTTTTTTTCTTACCCAAATTTTTATCCAACCTTTTGTATTTGGAAGCAAATTACTTATTACTGGATATTCTACTTCAAGCAAACATAATGTAGGTTCCATTTGTTCAAATCTTTGTAGCATGTAATATGTGGAATTCCATTGAGTTTCTACATCACGCACAGGATTCCAAAATTGAATAGATTTTACTTGATAAAGATTCCAAAGTATATCACACATAGTGATACCTGACTAAACTCTTTTTTGAAAAATTGTAATTTCATCAAAAGTTTTGTCTCTTTAATATTTTTATATGAATAAATATAAAATTATTATATTTTTTAATGTATTTTAATTCAAGGAATTTAGATTAAGTTAAATATAATTTTGGCAATTAAGTAAAATAATTTCGTCATTAATAAAAAACTAGTTTCGTCATTTTGGTTTCGTCAATTTCGTTATATTAGGAAAAGTAATTTTGTCAGGTATCATTACTTGTCATTAATATAATAATAATAATAATATTTTACATTAAATATATTAATGAGATAGAAAGTATTGTTAGAAGAGTGTGTATTTATATAGAGAAAGAATAACTTATTATAACTGAAATTTTGAACTTGATGAAAAATAATACTCATATAGCAAATTAAATAATACAGTATAATAAAGGATTATATAATACCTGTTAATATTAAATATAAATTAACAAATATGATAAAATAATTAAGGTTTCAAAAAATGATATTTTTTACATTAATATATAGTAGTCAGAATTATATAATAATATGCTTAATGAAAAAAATCCTGTAAAGAAGGAATCAGTTTCTGTTAAAATTTATTTATATTTTCTTGATAATAATTATTTATTATATATAAAGTTCCTCAAAATCAAATTGAATCAAACATTAATTTGGTTTGATTAAATAAATCATTTTTTGATTTGAATTTGATCGAATCAAATTAAATATTCAAATATCAAATTGAATTACAGAATCCTATCATATATAAATCATTACTAAATTCTAATATTTTTGAAATATATTAAAAAATTCAATAAAATCAATAAAATAAATTTTATTTATTTTTTTTTTGCTAGTTTAATTAACTAAAATAAATTAAAGATGTTTTCTTAAACTATTTTTAAAAAATTAGAAATATTTAAGATTAAATTATTTTTATAAAAATATATTTATCTAAATTTCTTAATAAACTCAATTAAGCTTAATCAAGTTTTAAATTTAAAAAAAAAATGGTATTTTAAAGGGTTTAAAAAAGTTTTAAATTTTTAAGCAATGCATTAAAATAGGTTTCAAATAATATTATTAATATAAATTAAAATAATATATAATATTAAAAATAGCAAATATTTAATTATTTGTATATTTAAGATGATATATATATTATACAGTCACATCTATAATAAAGTTAATATTCAGACTGATCAGACCTTTATTATAAGAAAATTTATTATTACTATAGCAAATTTTTTGATATAATTAAGATTGCTAAAAAAAACCTAAGTCGCCGGAGGTTATTTGATATAATTATATCAAATAACCTCCGGTGACTTGAGTTAGATTATGACGGTGGTGACATATTCTAACGGTATCGATATAATCTAATGGTGGTGACATAATCTAATGGTTATGTCAGTGTTTATGTAATCTAATGGTGCTGATATAATTTAATTGTGATGATATAATCTAATAGTTGTGGTATGATCTAATGTCACGGTCTAGTGGTGGCGTCATAACCTGATGTCATAATCTAATGTGCTGATATAATCTAC